AAAAAAAAACCAAGGCTGTTTAAAAAAAAGCCTTCTCCCACACAGCCCTCCATTTCCTAGAAACTTCAGAGGCAGGACCGGGGGCCATGTGACCAGCTGAGACGGCGAGCACACCTGAAATTGTTACAGCCCAGGACGACGCCCACAATGTTCTTCCCGATGTCGTGCACATCCCCCTTCACGGTGGCGAGCACGATTGTACCCTGGTAGGGATCCTGGGAAATACAAAAGAAGAGAATGCAGACAAGAGCGATCTGACAAGGAGGCTGCAGGTTCGAAACGCGATCCGCGTGCGTCTGAGGCAGGCATTACTTTTATTACGTAAGCATATGGGAGCCAAAGCCGATGAAGCACTGACTCAACTCACTGATACAAAAGGAGGCTTTTTATACAAAATCACAAACAGCAAACCCACCCAGAACAGTTTCAGTATATGGTGTAAAACCAAGGCTGCTAGCCCTGGTACGTGATAAACTGTAAGAATATTCTTGGGTTCCTTTAATCATTGCTTAAGCAGATATTATGTACTTTTAGATTTTGTCCATCATGGTTTAAGGAGATATCAGGCACTCTCAGTTCTGGTCAGACTTTAATTAAAAAGGGACTGAAGCCCTGTCCTCCACCATACAACAGCTGCTACCCTACTGCAGGGCAGACAGCATCCCTGCAGGAAGAATTAAAATGTACAGTACAGCGGTAGTCACAGAGTTAAAAACCATTCCAAATGGACAATATTTCTAAAAGAAGTCTGCTGTTGCCCTTTAAAGAGATAATAAAAATGCAGCTTTAACCTAAACCTTCAACTTTAACCCCATTCTTAAACTAACTTTAACCCAAACCCCAAGATAAATTTTAGACTGAAATCTATCTTCACCTGGGTTCTCCCATGTATAAAACAAGCAGTGTCTTGGACTTACTATGTCATCAGTACTGCCAGAAGCTGCCTTCATCTCTTCCCTCTCTTTCTCCATGAATGGGATGAGATACCCAACTGCTTTCTTCATGACACGGGCCGATTTAATTACCTTTATCCAGCACATAAAAAAATGAGTCACTGAAAGTATTGATACATTATAATATTTGCCAAAGAAGGAAGAAGCAAATCTCTGCCCCTCGGCCTAACAGAGGCTACAGGAGGCAGGGTAAACATGGAGGACTTCAGAGATGATGATGAGACAGCTTATTTAAAGCGTTAAAAGTTAGTAACAAAATCTTGCAGTGAATGTGACTTTACAGGCAACGAATGAAGAGACTTAAAAGTGCAGGAGTGATATGCAACCAAGGTATGTTACAAGTTAGAAGGCAAGTTCAAACAGATCATTAGCCATCATCTGAGCCTGTAACTGATGTGAAGCCACATATTCTAAAACCTTAGACAGGAATGATACATTAGAAATTGGTCTGTAGTTCACCACTGTATCAAAATCCAAGCCAGGATTTTTAATATAGGAGTAACTGATCTCACTCCTATAGTACTCTCCTTACTCCTTAGTCTTTAAAAAGGTTTAGAAAGTGGATGATTTTTTAACAACCAAAAAAAAAATCCTCTCCTTATGGAATACATTAAAAAAACAAGGACAACTCATTGCCTAAGCACAACCATCATATTCATGTAAAACTGCACTCAGCAGCAGGTTGTTTTCTTTTAATGCAGACGCTTAAACTGTATTCTGGGAAAACAGTCATGACAAACCGTAAGTAACTAAATGGTCTACCCAGACTCACAAACTGAAACAGAGGGCATTGCAAGATTATGAGACACACTATTCAGAAACATAATCCATATTTTAATTATAGTGCATAAGGACCTAATGACTTCAGTTTCACCAGGTAGGATTATATATAAACATGGAGGAAAAAAATACTCCCTTACCTGTGGCAGAAACATTTTTCCTGCTCCGAACAAGTCGCCCACTACTTTCATGCCGTTCATGAGAGGGCCCTCGATGATATGCAGGGGACGGGGGTACTTGCTGCTCTGTGCTCTGGCCTCCTCTGTATCCTCTAACACATACTTCTCGATGCCCTGAAACAGCAGGTTCACATTTTATCCGGACAGCGCTCTAAACAGACGTTCCTCACGTTTATATAGCGCCTTTCCTCCCAAAGGATCCCAAAGCATCTTATATCATTGTGGAGACCCTTTTCGTCTACCACCGAGGTGCAGACCCCACCCTACCTAGCAATATTCCCTCTAGCTGCTGTTTTTGTCTCGTGTATTAAATTAGGAGGGATATCTGTGCAGGCCATGTCACACAACCACAGGGGAGAATTTAGACAGGACACTTGGGTAACATTCCTCCTCTTAAAAACGGTGCCATGGAATCTTTCATATAACTAGACTAAGACATCACTAAAGCCCAGAAACAATAATTACGGCATGTCCACATATAAATATACTTATGAAGTAGTTCCAGTAGGTAGCTGCGTCAGCATGCATAGGCTGCAAAGGAACAAGTAATAGGTTTATTCCATGCTGAAAAGAGAAGAAAGGAAACGCTGTGGAGCCTTCTACGGGTGTAAATATATTTATTAAAAAGATTGACCAGTTAAACTGAAAAGTGAAACTGTCACCAGTGGTCATGTTTTTAAATCCACCAGGCTCTGAAGCAACACGACTCCCACTCGCTTGTTTCTGAAAAGAAGGCATTTCTGTTCAAGAGGGGGCAATGAAACGATGCAAAATACTCCCAACAGCTCCATTGCATATCCCTCGAAATGCAGTGGACTCCTCTGAAGATGGAACTCTCCTGCTGACAACCGCTATTTCCAGTTATGGAAACATGCTCCAATCATGCCTGCACGATCGTGCGGGCTTGAAAAAAGAAACACCTTACCTTAATCAGCGCGTATTCCAGACGTTCCTCCACTGTGCCCCTTCGCCACTCATCCGTCTGAACCACCTTCTTGCCCCCTTTGGCGTGGTTCTGAAAGTCAATGTCAACAGCTGAACAGGTCCAGTCCCTCTCCAGAAACATGAAACCTAAGACCTGGAGAGCCCCGCCAGGAACAGAAACTCTCAGTGGCACCCAGAGCAGGCAGGGGGCTCTGGGGCACCCCGTACCTGGGCATAGAGCAGCAGCTTCTCCGTGGCCTCTGGGTCCTTGTTCCAGATGAGGTTCTCGCACAGCAGCAGGAGCTGCTTGTCAATGTCGTCGTAGACCGGGAGGTTCCCCGCGTTCACGATGCCCATGTCCATCCCAACCTGAAGGCCAACAGCGGATTCTGAATAAGCAACACCGCGACGCCAATCGGAACACGTACGGCCCACTTTTCCCGGGCGTGGGCTTGCCGACGAGGGCAGGGCGCTCAGTACCTTGATGGCATGGTACAGGAAGGCGCCATGCATGGCCTCCCTTATGGCCTCCATCCCGCGAAAGGAGAAGGACAGGTTGGAGAGACCCCCACTGACCCGGGCTCCTGGCAGCGTTTCCTGCCGGGAGTCATGGGAAACTATCAAAAGGCGCCCAGCAGCCAGAACTCACAAGTGAATAGAACTAAAAACACCACCAAAACAAGACCTGAATATCCAGCAGAAAAACCACCCCGGTCCATTATTTCATGCTTCGTTACTGCAGCTACTTCGTTACTAGTTTTAAAATAAATAGTTATTAAGATCAACAAAGGGCGAACAGAAATAAAGTGAATTTTATATTCCTGTAAATTAAAAAAAAAGTGGAAAAAAAATAATTGAGAGATTATGTTATCTGCTGGGCAGTAGTTTGCACTTCATCTAAAATTTGTTGTCCAAGAGATTTCGTTACGGAGCTTGACAAACTCAAACACTGTCACTTCTCAGAGCTTCACCTGAAACAAAGACAGGCTTCGTCCAGCTCCAGAACATCAAAACATCCCATAACGAGACAAAGAAGGTGAAAACGGACTCTGACCTTTATAACTCTGGTTGCTTTCATGAAATTGATTGCATATATGTTGTGCTCCTCCATTCCAGTGCCAATGGTGAGGATATTCGGGTCAAAGATGATGTCATTGGGGTTGAAGCCCACCTTGTTCACCAGGAGATTGTACGCTCGGGTGCAAACCTGGATTTTGTGCTCTGTCTCAGTGGCCTTTAAAGACATTAAGGAACAAGCAAGGGAAACCTTAAACTCAGTTCAGTTTTGTAAGGTTTTGATATAGGCTTCCAAAATTACTGCATTTGTACTGCTCTGTGTTTGTATTTCCAAAAATGCACATAGCTATGCCAAAACGAGCTGTACACTCCAGCCAGAAAGCAGGTCAACGATGCCTGAAACAAAGCCCACTTCCAATAGTCTCAGTCTGTCAGGGTTACAACGGCGCGAAGCAGGGCCTCTATCTGCTCTGCCACCAGGACACACACAGACACACACAGACACACACAGACACACACAGACACACACAGACACACACAGACACACACAGACACACACAGACACACACAGACACACACACAGGCCGAGACGACCAGGCAGGAACAGAAGGGTGCCGAGACTCGCCTGTCCCTCCTCGTCAAAGGCCATGACGACGACGGCCGCGCCGAAGCGGCGCACGGTGCGCGCCTTCTGCAGGAAGTCCTCCTCGCCCTCCTTCAGGCTGATGCTGTTCACGACGCACTTGCCCTGGCAGCACTTCAGCCCCGCCTCGATCACCGAGAAGCTGGACGAGTCGATGCACAGGGGCACCTGCGCACGGGGACACGGCGCGATAGCAGCAGGAGCCTCACTCTCGTGTGGCGAGACAGGGCTTTAACAACCCCACAAACCGAAAGAACACCGAGATACAGAACTCAATACAAAAATAATTAACGATTTCACCAGATGTAATCATCTGAAGGGTGGGAAGCAGCAGAAAACCCCTATTGCTGCAAAATCTACTGCCGGTTATAAAAAAAACTCTGACCACATACCTTGGATTTTAAAAATGCACTTTATGCAGAGAAAGTCCTGTTCCAGTTATTCCCATAACAATAAGACCTTCACATATGGAAGAGCAGATAATAACCGTGAGGAAGGCGGTTTTCAGCGATTTTGCTACACTTAATTTGCTTAATATAATGCTCATTAACTGAATTAATTAATTCATTAAATTAGGTTAATTGTGTCAATGAGTAACCAGCTACCACACATATGCATTGACTATTGCAGGGTTTCTGAGCTCCCTGTAAAAAGCGGATGATCTCTATTGGACCTAAATTGAAATGGCGCCAGCCGTGCAACCCGACAGTGAAGCACATGATTCGAACTGGCGACAAGCACGCCGAGCCCAGTGCCACCGAGAGGGAGGCATACCCTGGCAATGTCGGGCTCCGAGGCGATCAGGTTGCAGAAGCGCGTCATGGCACTCTTCCCCTCCAGCATGCCCTCGTCCATGTTAATATCCAGAACCTGGGCGCCCATCTCCACTTGGGACTTGGCAATGCTGAGTGCCTCCTGGAGAACACACCAATCAACAAGCGCTCAGCACAAATTAAAATTAAAATTAAAATTAAGAAGGCACTATAGTGCAGTGGTTAGCATTGCAGACTCGCAGCACTGGGGTCCTGGGTTCAATTCCTGTCTGCGCTGATTTTGTATGGTCTCCATCTTTGTACGGGGCTCCTCTGGGAGCTCTGGTTTCCTCCCACAGACCAAAGACAAACTGGAAGGTTAACTGGATTTTGGGAAAACTGGCCCTGGTGTGTGTGTGTGTATGTGTGTGTGTGTGAGTCCCGAGACGGATCGGTGTCCCACACACGGTGCATACTGCCTTGCACCCACTGTTTGCCCCTGTGACTCTGTGCTGGATGCAGAGATTAGAAAATAGAAAATGTAATTGTGGCTGCTCTCAAAGAAACAGGGGGAGTCTCCTTCAACGTGTGCACTGTTCGGTTAAGATCCAGAGCAACTAGATCATTGCCTTTTAAAGCTCGAAATCTCAGAAGACATACCTCATAATTTCCTGACATGATCAACTTGGCGAACTTCCGGGACCCTGCAACGTTGCAGCGCTCGCCAATGTTGACAAAGTTTGTGTAAGGGCCGATCCGGAAAGGCTCCAGTCCTTTAAGAACATGAAATATTAAAAAAAGAGGCATTAAAATTCACCCGTTTCACACAGGGCTATATACCAAAACACAGAGAAGAAGGCTCACTTAAGGAAGCAGTAACTGAGTAACAAGTAATATTCAACCTGATAGGAGCATGTAGTCTTGAAACAGAGCAGACGGAGGAATTCTGGGTTGGCAGTGCTTCACGGCATCGGCAATTGCCCTTCAGACAAACAGGGACGCTGTCAGTACCCATTCTCTAAGTGTGCTACAAAACAGTTTCATATTTGACCATTTAATTACCGAATATGCGCAGGAGTAGTTCCACAGCAGCCACCAACAATGTTTAGCAACCCATCCTCAGCGAATTCCTACAAACAGAAAGAAAAACATATCCAATTGTGTATTACAGCCCAGCAAATCGGTGCCTCTTCTGCAAAAGGATTATTCCATACTGTAGATGCCCGGAAGCTCAATTGCTGATGCACTTTAGGGCTACCTTGACCTGTCTGGGAATGGACGAAAAAAAGTAAAATTTTCAGGTTACAAAGTAGATCCCACTGTGAGATGAAAGACTTGCCTTCAAATTTTTTGCTGTCAATTCAGGAGTTTCATCATATTCCCCAAAGGTATTAGGAAGACCTTAATGAAACGAAAAGCACCATTAGGGGGTTTAAATCGCATTTAGAATTCTCATTTTGTAAAAATGAAACATTCGCATTTAAAATAAGTTTTGCTTTGCGAGACAAATTATATCCGGATCTGATTACACTGCTTACAAGCAATCACTCTTGTGGAATAAAAAAAAGCACTAATCACATCGCTAGCTTTCTGTGACCTGGATTCCCTAAAAGGCAGCACCAGTGTTAAAAGACGAGTGGCTCGAGAGCGTGTGTGTGGGAGAAGTCTGCGTGCACGTCCCCATTTTTCCCCATGCCGGTAACAGGGTTTGTTACCATGAGTCAAGATCTGGCTCGTATAAGAAAAATAATGGGCAATTCTAAATTCAAAATGAAAATCTTGTGCATGCATTTTACTAAACAAAATTAATAAAATCTTAATATAAATGCACAAGATTTTGTGTTACTATTCTAATCATTTTAATTTCCATTACAAATCAAAACACAGTAAGAAACATAAGAGATTACCTGCGTTGGGATAACAGATCACATAAGAGGTTGTGTTTTTTCCGATGGCTTCAATGAAAGGCCTCATTTCGGCTGCACCCAACGCACAGTTCAGTCCTATGCTGAAAATGAACAAAACGTCATAAAGCGTCCCCATCAATCCCCCCGGTTACCGACAGGGCTAGGACTTAACTCACCACAGAGGTTTGGCATGAGACATGCTGATGACAAAGGCCTCTCCTGTCTGTCCAGAGAGGGTGCGTCCACTCTTGTCCACAATGGTCCCTGAGATCTACCATTAAGGCAGGAATTCAAAAGACATGAGGACACATAAAACAGGCTAAGCCTGTCAATTTCACATCATAATACAAATGAAATTAAAAAAATACATTCACTTACAAATATGGGTCTTGGCTCATATTGCTCCTCAAAAAGTTTATCAATTGCAAACAGCGCTGCCTGTTGATAAAAAATTTAAACCTCAGTTTTTGCATTCCAACATTATTTTAAAGACTTCAAAACCCATTTTATCATACAACAGGGTAAACAACAGCTTATGATCAGGAAGATGGCATCTGGCCTAATTAATATCACAAACGCCTTTAAAATCTAATACAGAAAATGATCTATACAAGTACAGTCAACTGGAAAATATCACCCATCAACTTTAACAATGACTGTTTAACTTGACATTCTAATTCCCAGAAGTGTAAGATGCTATTAGTCCTTACTAATGTTTTGTTTTCCTTGAGATGCTGTAAGCTAAAACTATAACAAAGTCGCCATTTCACACAACTCAATTATTAGATGTGCAAAAATAAAAGACCACTAGAGCAGTAAATTGAGCAGCAGTGAAACACATATATCACTCTTTTCACTTAAAAACCTTATTCCTTGGCTGTCAAATGAAAACCCTGCAAATATGAAGTATATCCATAAAACGTACTACTTTATTTGTCCCAGCACACTACTTACAAGTAAGGTTCCAGCTTGTATGTACGTGATTTTGCATATGGGCGTTTCATGAGCAAAAAATTGAGAATAACACAAATGTAAGGTTAATTATTGCTGGGGTGACGACTGTTACCCAGTGTCCACTGGGAAATTTGCAGAACTGATGCTGGCTACACTCAATATATTACACCCGGTTTGTTCACTTGCCCTGAAACAGTGACTAAACTGCCACAAAAGAACAGTTTAAAATGAGCTTTTAACCTACCTTGGCATTGGCTGTGTCAAAAATGGTCTCAACTAGCAAAATATCCGCCCCTCCATCCAGGAGGCCTCTGGTCTGCTCTGCGTAAGCTTCCACCAGTTCATCAAAAGCTGTGAAAAATACATTATAAAACGTATCATCGTTTATCTTGATTTTACGGATCTCTTTTAATTTGAACTCATCCATAAATGGTAAAAGACAGCAACATGCAGCCCTGATGTTGATATCAGGAAGGGAGGTATACATTTGTGGGAAAACATTCATGCATATACATTATTGTAGCAGGCTAGAGTTTAGCCAGTTCAATAAAATCAAACCATGTAAAAGCAGTTTTATAACCAATATTAGTTCCATGACATGATCCTCAATGATGTGAAACTGCAAATGTATTTCTAAAACATCACTATAAATACTTGTAAATGAAGAACAAATAAACACACCCCTTAAGTGGTTATTCAAAACACGGATTTTTACCAGGAGCAGAAAGTCTTCTGCCTTGTTGAAAAATATAGAATTACTGTCATCACCACAAACACAATCTCCTTAGAAAAATCCTTTGTGTTCCTTGTGCCTGAGGTTGTGAGAAACAATTATCTTTCTCATCTTAGTAGCCATCAAAAACAGCGTGAAAAGAGAGGCTTGTATTTATGCTATATCGGTAAATAAAGTATGGTCATTATGTTGTGTAGGTCTCATGGTAAAGTGTGTATAATAGTTAAATAAGTACCTTTCTGTTCTTTGAAAAACTTGTTTTTGCATTATAATGCAGAATTTGAAAACACAATCGCTTTTGTAATGTTCAGCATTGAGAAAGTTGGAATAAGCTCTATCTCTGGCTGAAAAAAAAAAACTTTGGGGAGTTCTTCCTGCACTTCTGTTTCACCAAGTAAAACATGATTCATGTCTAAATGATGTATGGTGCTAAATATGCCCTTGGCTCTTCTGCTGGCAGCGTAATTTGCTTATCGCTCCTGAGCTCTGTGGGCAAGGAATATCTGCAAACAGGCAGCCTTCATTGTTGCATGGTTTCACACTGTGCTTTCAAACTGACTGCATCATTTTGCCCAGCACAGTGCTTATAAATAAGGTCCCAGCTTGTATGTACTGTACAGTACATGATTGTTACACGAGTTCATTTTATAGACAATGTACAGTAAGTTGTTTTGCATATGGGTGTTTCATGAGCAAAAAAATTGAGAATAACACAAATGAAAGGTTAATTATTGCTGGGGTGACGACTGTTACCCAGAGTCCAGAGGGAGTATTGCAGAACTGATGCTGGTTACACTCAATATATTACACCCGGTTTTGTTCACTTGCCCTCTCATGCTGGAATGAGAAGAATGATTTGTATAACCAAGCACTAATGTAGCAAGGGCCAATTAATATTCATGCCCATAATTCATAGTGAATGAATGCTCCATAAGCCTGAAAGCCGCTCCTTGTAATGTAACGCCTTTTAAACTTCTTCTGTTATTTCTCCTAGACTACTGAAGTGCTCCTTGTTTCCTGCCTGCAGCACAGTGCCATGGGTGGTCTTACCAACTTCACACGGGCAGTATCGCACATCCATCCATTTTCTAACTGCTTTCTCCAATTCAGGCAGCTTATCCCAGCAAGCAACGGGTGCAAGGCTGCATACACTCTGGACAGGACACCAGTCCGTCAGAGGGCACACCCACAAACAAGATACACTTTGTCCTGGCCAGTTTTCCCAGAAGCCAATTTACTTCCTATTAGGTTTTTGAACTGGGGGGGGGAACTGGAGTACCTGGAGGAAACCCACATGAACACAGGCAGAACATACAAACTCCACACAGACAGGACTCCTGGTCTGGAATTGAACCCAGGGCCCAGCGCTGTGGGGCCCCACCACATTTGCCCAGTAATGCACATCACACTCTAAATAATTTAAGCCTGGGAGAGCTCGTTTGATTTAAACATTTCAGTAAGTAAAGAAATAAATTATATTTTGTTAAGTAATTAATCTTCAATATAAGAAGGATTGTAGCCATTACTGATTAATGTGAATGATCATAGGATCATAGGTGTGAAGTTCTTACTAATATTCCGGAAGTCTGGTCTTTCCACAGAGGGAGAGACAGATAAAGTCTTGTTGGTTGGTCCAATTGCTCCAGCCACATATCTTTTAATGCCTGTGAAAGAGAATAAGTCAAGGTTATGTCCCAGCTGATGCATGGAGACTTTGTTTACATATGTTTGTGTTCAGTGAGGTATTATGCTTTCTCACTCAGATAAGATTGAAAGTACTTCCTTTAAGTGCTCCCAGTCTTTCAAGGCCAGGAATACGCCTCCTGTGAATTTCTTCACTAGTCTAGAAAACACAATACCAACCTGTCTGGGCAGCAACATCGCTGGCAGCCTTCCTGGCCACCTCTGCCGAAACTTTATTAAGACGGTATGCCTGCCAGAGGAAAAAATGTGTTATTTTCATAGACGTATAGCAATTATAAGGTTCTCCAGATATTGACTAAACCATTACCATTATAATTGTGAATTAATTCAAAGTAGTAAGATTAAAAATAAAGTAAGAATGAAATATTGGCAATTCAATTTAATCCACATAAATCATAAAACTTTCTCCAACTTCTGGGAATATCATCAAAGGTTTAATGTAATTTCACTTATGTTGTGCGCATATAAGCATTTTTCGCCGAATGTCATCTGTCTTCTTACCAAATCTTCAAGTCCATAGTCAGCCTGTGCTATGCTTGTGCTGCTGAACGTGTTTGTTTCAATGATATCAGCTCCGGACAGCAAATATTCCTTCAATCAAAGAAACACAGCAAGCAGATATTCACTATTGGCTGTGCTCAGGGATATTTTCTGTGCACTTCATAAAAAAACAGGTGTCTCCAACCCCAGTCCAGCAGGTGTTGAAAAAATAATCAAATTATAAAGGCCTGGAGCTATGAGTGATTTAACTAGATTTGTGTTCAAGTAATTCAGAGAACAAATATGAGAATATCTTTCACCCCTCAAGAACCAGGTCTGGAGACCCTTGCCATAAACGTTAAGGTTGGCACATGTTCATCAGGAAGTCACAAGTCAAACAAAGAACTTGATATAAAAAATACAGAAAGAATAACCACAAAAGTTAAATAACAACTTCACTGCTGTATGCTGCCACAGCGACGCAAAGTAAAACGACCAACTCCATCAGTTTTAACAAACAGGTAGACACATTACCTGATGAATCTTATAGATAACGTCAGGCTGTGTTAGGCTCAGGAGATCGTTGTTTCCTTTCAGGCTTTTAGGGTGCTGCTTGAATTCCTCTCCCCTGAAGTCCTGCTCCTCCAAATTTCTCTGCTGGATCATGGTCCCCATTCCTCCATCCAGTACCAGAATCCTGTGCTGTAGAAGCGCCTTTACTTCATCCTGTATGCTGCTCCCACCTAGGTCAGCAGTTTTAAAGGGCTTCGTTATACTTTATAGCGTTTATTCAAAATTCTACTTACTCCACCATTATGATTTACATAACAGGGAACAGGCACATTTATGAGAAATTAAGTACGACTGAATGGAAAAGGAGCTAGCTATGATACAGCCTGCGTTTATTTTTCCTTTCTAGTTTTATGTATACTGTAGTTAATGTAGCAGATCATCATGCAGTATATAGAGTAAAGCCTAATTGCTCATCTTCAATGTTCTAACTGCTTTTTTCGTTACAGGGTCATGGGGAAAAGCAAGGGTGGGTACACAAACACACACACTCACGTCAGGGCACGTTTTTCCAAAAGCCAATTAACCCACCAGTATGTCTTTGGAGCGTGGGAAGAAATCAGAGCACCGGGGGAAAATGAACACATATCTGGGCAGAACATACAAACTCCACGCAGACAGCACCTCAGGTCCAGAAATGAACCCAGGGTCCCAGTGCTGTGAGCCAGCAGTGTGAACCACTCCGCCACCATGTTGACCACAAACTTTTGTGATACATTTTTAAAATGATTTTTATTTAATATATAATTATATATTATTTAAATAAATATTATTATTTAGAAGTATTTTTAAAATAGAATAGGCACTTTTTTACACAAAAGGCAGTGGGAGTCTGGCACGAGCTGTACTGTACAGCCATGGTGTAGAGTAAAAACTGAGAACCCAGCTCGTTCCAGTCAGTGACTGTATGAAATGGTCAGATGGGCCAAGTGACCTCCTTTCATGCATAAGCTTTCTTATGTTCTTATAGCTCTCCGTAACATTTTAATCGGTCAACTTGCCCCACTTAATAGTGGGTGAATAGCAAAGCGCCCTTGTAAAACGACTGCAGTATAGCCGGGACTGTGCGTGTCAGTTTGAAGCGCACCCTTTCTATAAATATATCACGCGTGCACATCGGGGCAACACCAGACCACGACTGAAACCCTTACGATTCATCTTTTAGCCTGCGAATACGGCAGCCTTCAGCCCAGCCTCTTCCAAAAAGCACATTTACCACTGGAGACAGGGGTTACAGCAAGTCCCAGAGAAATACACAAAGCTATCCTTAGCTAGCACTGAAGTAGTGCAGGTGAGTAGCTGTGTAGTGGGTCGCAGCAGAAGTAGGTTGAAGTAGTTCACGGCCGACACGTTGCGTTTTCTTTCTTCTCTTTTCAGCATGGAATAATAAACCTATTACTTGTTCCTTAGCTAAGCAATGTTCATTACTGTCACATGCATTTCTGGCATGGGTGGACATCGATACCCCCGAGCTCTTGCTGACTCAAAGCTTTCAAATCACATCTGGCTACCTCGGGTCGTAGCACGCACGTCCGAATGACAATTTTGGAAGCACATTCACCACGTTTTTACTTCCATACCTGAGTCCTTGGAACAATCGTGAATTGTAGGTGCCATGGTCCGGATTCTTAGTCCTGTTGGAAGGTGTCTGCAGGTTTTAAACAGACGCCCAAGCGGCGTTTTGTAATGACACAAGTGAAACAACTTGTGTAACACCGCCGGACTCGGTCCTCCCCACACGTTTACAAACTTCACTGGGAGCACTGGCGTCACCGAGGACGTAGAAGACGGCGCATGCGCCTCCGCAGTTGTGCACTTCGCCAGTTCAGTCTCGTTGGCAGCTGTGGAAAGTAGCTCGGTATTGGCGACACTGTATTCACTTTGCTTTTTGTGCATTTAACGACCTAGGATAGAATGAAATTGTCTAAAACGAACCAAGTGCTTTGTGCACAAAGACTTGTTTCATTGTCATATCTCTTGCTACATGACTAACGTTTAGCACCAGAGGAAATGAAACGATCTTTTTACGTTCGTCTAATCCTGACAGTGGGTTCTATTAACCCTTATAAAATTTACAAATGTATTTAAACGAAGTTAACCAGGGAAAAAGGTAACGGGAAAAAAATCAAAAGGGGTTTCCCACCACACGAGTTTTTTCCGAAATTAAATCTGTTCCAGTGTTATCTACCTGATGTGGCGCAGCTCAGCTGCCTGGTCTCCAGACACAACATTTCAAAAGTGGGAAAAGTAGAACAAAAACTTAAAATCACTAAAACTTTGCATAGCTGACAATCTGGTCAATGTTTTTGAAAATAACACCAAGAGTTGCTGAACCTCTCTGAATATTTTCTCATGGGATGTTAAATTGTTACTTCATTACTTACTTTTTAGCGCACATAAATCATACGTTTGAGGACAAAATTGTCTTGTTCTATTACTGGCAAGCATCGTATTCACAGGCAAGACAAACAGAGAGTCTTAAATGTGACATGGCTGTAACATAAAGCATCACTTGTCTGTGTGCCATAATATGCAACAGTTATAAATTAAGCAGGTTGACAGGAGATGCATTATGCAACACTAGCAGACTGCAGTTTGGTGACTCACAATTTACATTATCTTGCATTCATTTGAATTTTCTCTAAAGGATATTTTTCTTTTGTGCCCTAAATATGCCATCAGTTGGGAAATTAGTACTAATGGGTTTCACATGCGTTTGTGACATTAACTTTAAACTTGATGTTTTTTTAATTCTTTAAACATTTTAGATAGATATGTATGATAGATGTGAACTGGCTTCATTACTCTGCTCTCCTCACCACTGAGAGTTGATGTGTGGTGAGTGTACTGGCTCACTATGGCTGCTGTCGCATCATCCAGGTGGGGCTGCACACTGGTGATGGTGGTGGAGGGGATCCCCATTACCTGTAAAGCGCTTTGAGTGGAGTGTCCAGAAAAGCTTCTCTTTTCAGCCTGGAATAAACCTTTACTTGTTCATTTAATTTTGTCGCCAAGCACAGGGGCGTAGCCAATCAGTCCAAAGTAATTTAAGATTTTCTTTCCCTTGTTTGCGTTACATGATTTGCTTGTTAATGTTACGTGTTTTGATGTTTTTTCATCATATGTGATTTGCTATTGGCTCGCTGTATCTTCTGTGACCAATAAGAAAGTTATGTAAATATCGTGGGGCGGTGCATGCGTAGCCGTAGCCTACTTGGCTGTCGTTGTCGTCAGACGCTCTTAGAGCTATCTAGCGCTAGGTTTTTGGTTTATTAGCCAACATGGCAAAACAAATGCATATATCTACGCCTATAGATGGCCAGACCAGTCCTGAAACAAATAAGACACATGAGATGCTACAGGCATCTTGGGTTTTAAGGAGCACAGCCTGGCTCCCCGAATACAAGTGTTTCTGGACCGCAAGGGGCAGTGCACGCGTTTGCTTGTAGCAGCTCGATACATGCTCGACCTGTAGGAGTTCAGCACGAAGATGTTCTAAAATTTCTCCTGTAAACAAATGACAAGTTTTGGAATGCATGAGTAACATTAAGATAATACTGACGGATAGATGCGAGTGTGCATTTTACAGATAACTATTCAGATCGCCTCCAAATGACCTGCAGTATTTTTAAAATACATCCAAAGTGTGTATATGACGCTTTTATTAGCATACCATTCCTGCAATTAAAGCTACGATGAATTGGTTAGCACTGTAATGCGACTATAACAATTCAGTGACAAGTCTTGTGGGAAGTCAAGAATTTTCAAATTAGGTGTCTTTTGGCATCGAAAATATAATACTAATTTCATGGGTTTCATACAAGTTTAAAAGCATCATGAAGTATCAAACAAGATCTCCAGAACTTAATATTTTAATAC